TACACGTACGTCTCTCTCTCTCTCTCTCTCTCTCTCTCTCTCTCTCTCTCTCTCGGTCGAAATAATAATTAAATTTATCGCGGGTTACGCGCGCGCGGATGTGGCTTTTGCGCGCACGGACGGCCGCACGCGCGCGTCTCGCTGAAATATTTTGCACCTGCTCGCGCAATAATGCGTCTGTTAAATTATCACATTACAGCCGGTGAACGCGAGCCGGCATTGCCGCGAGTAGAAACTACTGATTTACGCCAAACTAACCGTACGTCATTGTCAGGTAGGGCTGCTTAACGGTTCATTTTCCATCGGCGCGATCGGCGCAATTTGTTGCCCGATCGATCCTTGTCCGACTTGTCGCGCTTTTACATCGCCGCACGTTCCCCGATCCGTCCTGCACATTGCAGTTCAGCCCGAGCGATCTGCATTATGTTCCCTCATGCAATCGTATACTTACCGCTACGTGCGAGCTATTACATTTTGAAAGTCCAAAGCGCTATTCGCGCTATATTTACAAATTTAATTCGACCCTTCTGTTTTTAGCTTACGTAACATTTTGAAAATGCAAATGCTATTTGCGTATATTTACAAATTCAACTTCTCTGTTTTTAGATTATTTAGATTACACACGCTCATATGTCAGGAATTTCACTCATCATTTCATTAAATTTCATTCTTCTTTAACAAACTTATATCGACATCTTTATAAGTTCATAATGGAAATTATAAAAATTCCGCTCGCGCGGCAATAAAAATTTAATTTATTTTTATAGGATTTGCGCAATGCTATATATAACGTATACAAGACTAGTTTAATTTTGTCGCGCTTTTTATTTTTGAAGTATGAAATAAATGATATGTTATTATCTGCATTTGCGAGAGATATAAGAAATTCATAATAATATAAATTCAATCGAAGCATAAATGGAAAGCTTTTAAAAAGCTTAGTAATTTATGTATATTTTAAATTTATATGTAAAAAAGAGTTTCTACATAAAAAAAATGTATATATATTCTCTCTTTTCAACATTTTTAAAAGAAAATTGCAAAATAAATAGAATGATATACAAATGTAAAAGCATGAAATTTTCGAAAGTTATACCATGGCGATTGCAGGCATAAAAATGTGTCCAATCGGAAGAGAAAAATGACCGTAGTACATTTTCACAACTAACATTTATTGTATCTGTGATGACTATGTAATCTTTGGATAACCGACGAACTTTACTTGATATCGTTAACGTCAGGCATATTTTATGCGGACGAGCATATGACGTTGAATAGATCCTCATCGGCTACGTTCATCGCGTATTTTTCGCGCCGCGGGCAAGACTACCACTGAACAATGATGCATCGCAATCATTGTTTTAGGTTCAACAAAGGCGTCGATTTCTTTGACCCTCGAGCCTCGAAAATATTGCTTCCATCAGATAAAAACAAGTAACAACAACAACACTGCGTGAATAAAACCGACGTTTCGCAGCGTTTCTCATTAGCAGTGATCGTCCATTTTGTAATGCAAAACGTAAATTTCAATCGTCTGTTGATTTGTTTTTGTAAGTAAATCTTGATTCGCTCAAAGATCTGCATTTTGTAACGCAAAATGGAAATGTAGATGATGATATGTAGATATACATGGACTTAGTTCGTAGCTGTAAAAAATGTTTAAGTTGCCATGGAAACATTTTTATTACTTTAAACACAACAGAGTGCAATTATACGATTGCGTAGATTATTCGAAAGGAAAGAAAATTTGAATTTATAGTCAATAGTAATCGATAGTGCCGAATTCTTTGGACGGTGTCGTTCGACATTTTGAGAAATCTTGTAACATTAATTTCATTTCTAAAAGTACATAACAGTTTACATACATAATGTAAGTTCAACAAATGTGTATATATAAAAGTATACACACATATACAAAAGTATATGTACATCCCAAATATTCGAACTTTATAAAACACATTTAGCCTCGTAAGATTCGTCTCTTTCTCTTAGATTAAAGAATTTGTCGTTGTTATATCCTCCGAAAAATGATATATTAAAATTGATAACGGATATAAATATTTCTCCATTTTTTAATTCTTTTAAATCAGTAATAAACGGATATTAATCTCGCGATAACGCGGTTGAAATGCTTTAACGTAAGGATAAAGCAATAAAACGTCCTCGACTCGCTCGACGATCGAGTCAGCGTCACTTGGCTATTTTTCCAGCGCAGTCACAAATAGTACGTCACAGATAGTCGCGCGTTACATATCACATGAACGGAATTTCTCTTAAATAACGTAGCCGCATTTGAATATTGCGGACGTGTAAATAACGTACGTACGCAGTAACAACGCGGCGTCAACACGTTTTAGTATTAAGAGCTCACAAATACGACGTGGAGAGACAAGAGTCAAGTTTCTATCTCTCTTCCTGAAATTCACAGCGTTCTGGGCGCGAACGCCATTCGTCCTACGCAAATCCCGCATTGATCGCCACTGGAAGCGATTAGTCAAGTTTCTGGAGAGATGCTCGGAAATGCTCTGTGGAAACTGATATACGTCGTCTCGCAACGAAACTGCGAGACGCGCGGTGCTCCTAGCGAAGCCACTCGTCCAAAAGTTAAGTCCACGATCGAAACGGATTCAGATGATATCACCGTCGTTACCATGCGCACGTACGCACCCACCCCCCCACCCCCCCACACACCACACACACACTACACACACACACACACACACACACACACACACACACACACACACACACACACACACACACACACACACACACACACACACATATATATTGATGCGAACATTAACATAAATCCATCCAGTGCGCGATGCTGTCTATCCGATTAATATAAAAATTCAACATTTTTAAATGCACTTTTTCTCTTATTACTTGGCAGCGTTACCATCACAAATCCAATCTTGCATCAAGATTAAAATTACATTAAAATGAACATCGGTAAAATTTGAATTTAAATTACTTCTTTCATATATGTTTGTTTTATATGCTCCAAACGAATTTTTGTTCGAGATACATATACACGAGCATTCGCACACGTTGGACGTCGCAAAGGATAAAAATTCCGACTTTATTAGCAAGCACACACCCTTCTGCGATTCTGCATTTTAAATTTGTTATTCTCAAACGCCTTCTACCTTATCCTTCCGCATTATAAAAAAGTAAACATATTGTTCAAATATGGCCTAGCAGATTAATAATATCTTTCGTAACCGCTTCATCGACAATTTCACGTCGAAAAAAAAAAAAAAAAAAAAAAAATGTGTTTTTTCCGTATTAGTGATTACGTCTCGCGCGGATATTATTCTTGGATATCGCGTTTCGGACGTTTTCGAGTGACGCGAGATCGCGAAATCTGGGAAGAGTACGTCCAAACTCATCCCGGTAGTTTTACGCTCTATTTCGTGTGAGCAAACTCACCGGCAATTTTTCACGAAAATTAAATGTCACGTGAAATGAGTGCACGGCACATCTCCGACTTGCTTCTTGATAAAGAATGGGTGATATTATTCTAATGGCGCTGTGGCCGCATCCTACATGATTCTACCATCAACCATGCTCATCAGTCTTGTATATCGTATGTTTCGTTCCGCGATGTTGCTCTTCGGCAAACGTGGACTGTATGTTTCTATTATACCGTTTTTGCGCGCCAGGGTTGTTATTCAATAAAAGAAATTTGTGATAGGTGGGGGCCATACATTTTGCACAAACTTTCTCCGCGGGAGTCATGTTTAGAAATAGCGAGCCGGGTAAAAAAAAATATATATATATATAGTTTGTAATGCACATCACCGTGCGTATTAAAATACGCAATTGTTTTTTTCCTCTCTACGATGTGTATCGATTCGGTTATTTATAAGCATTTATTTAGATTGCAAAAATTACTTTAAATCAAATATCATTTATTTGCATGCTGCACCCGCGCGATTAACTTGCGAATTTCTTTTATACATGTAATGCGATATAAAATTAATATCCGTTACATTTATTAGTTTCGCGACATTAGTAAATTATGTGCATGTCTCTATATAAAATATTATAATGTAACATGCGGGATAGTGACTTTTTGATGATAATGTGTGTTGCTTTTGATTTATGCCGCGTTGTGTGTGTGTGTGCGCCTTTTCACACAGTATATTTATTTATCCACTAACGTTAATAAGGTAACGTACCAATATTTCACAAGCGCTGTTTTCAATTTTATCTGAATCGGGATTGGCAAAATGATTTCGATCATGAATGTTACATTTATTCATGGCGGACGCGCGCGCAGAGAGTAAATTATAATCCCATTACAAGCAATAACATATAAAAATATAATAGAATTACTATCTCTTACCAAGTGGGAATAAAATTTTTTTTTAAATGAGATTTCAAAAATAGCGAAAACCAACATCATTATCAATTGCGTTTCGGCAAGATAGGAACGAGATAGGTCAACATCTACAACACAGGAAACCTCAAACAAAATTTAACAATATACAACAATAGAGATTAGCATTATTGTTCCATGCAAATTATTCGCGTGTCTCGCGTGATTTTTCTCGAGGGATAACTCGCCGATGTCGCGGCTCGTACGCGGAATGTTTGCGAGAAAAAAATAGAAAAAAAAACAAGAGAGAGAGAGAGAGAAGAGAGGAGAGAGAAAGAAGAGAGAGAGAGAGGAGAGAGAGAGACGGAGA